TTGAAAGGTGCTCTGTGTGATACTTGAGGTTCAGAGCGCAATGTGGTCTCCAAGGGACTTCCCACGTGAGTTCAAGCTCCAATGAGCCATGGAGTGTGTTGGAGACAAGGAAGTAGTCAATCTCACTGCCCTGTAATGTTGTGGGCCCGTCTCCACTGAGAATGTGAGCTTTGAACTTGCTTTGAACGACCATGGCAGCCAGCTCACTAGGCGGGTTTTGCCAGTCACCCCCAACGATGAAGGGAGCTTCGAGGATCTCTGAGGATCTCCACGTTCAAGGGTGACTGCAGGCTTTCCCCTGTTCTCAAGTACAGTTGTACGATGGCCATGTGAAGACCGTCACGCTGATACCCCACGGCCATCCAGCCATGCAAAAGTGCTGCAAACTATGGACATGGTGATGAGGAGGATGGAGGCATAGAAAACCCCCTGTGTAGCCGCCTCTTCCGGTGGCCATGGCTGGAACTCCCAAGGCACGCCAGCCGCGGATGATGAAATACTGCATGGCTTCCTGCAACTTGCTGTCCGACAGATGTGTTTCCTGCAGGAAAATCAGGTGATCAGCTTTTGACCACACCCAGTCCTGGACCTTCTTGCCAAAGGAGGTGACATTGGCAAAGCAAATCAAAACATCTTCATAGTGAGTTTTGCTCTTCTTGATGGGCGGTTCTGGGATGAGGGTGTCGTCAGAATCGTCTTCCATTGGATCGTGTACTAACCAGACTTGTAGCGCTTCAGATTCTTGTTGTTCGTTGAGTTCACCAATAGGTTGTGGGAATTGGTTGTCATCGACACTCCAGAAAGCATTGTCTAGAGCATGGATGGCAGTGAAGTGACCACTGTGGTGAGTCTCGCCATGGTGCAAGATCATGGCCACTCTCCACAGGCCTGTGATGTTTGGTCCAGATGTTCTCTTGACATTGAAACCGCTGGATGTGGAAAATCAAGCAGTTTGGGGCTCCATACAAATATTGTCCTTCTTCTTCATTGGCCCACTGGTTGACCAGCTCATCAAGGGTGACTTTGGCTTCTCCTGGTGGGCAAATGAGGTTGATCGGCACTTGTTCACGTTCTTCCAGGACTCCATTAGTCTTGAGGTGGAAGAATTTCCCTCCGATGTTCTGGGGAGCGGCTGTGGTGTAGAGGTGTCCAACAAAGTCACCAACATCAGCTTGTTGTTGTTTGTCAAAGTGGGCCCAAACATCCATAAGTTCATGAATTTGAGTCAAGAGGCACGGCCTGGAAGAAGAAAGGAAGGCTCTGAAGGCCTGATGAAGCCTGCCCCACGTTTGAGTGGGTTCCATGGTGAAGCAACTCAACCAACTCCAACACCTGAAGACGGAGTTGCCAAAGCACAGGTTGCCATCATTGGCAGCTATGCTAGTGAGATTCTGAGCAATCAAACCTGAATTGGCCTGAATGAAAGGAGGGTCTCCTTGGAGGCCTTGATGTTTGTACACCAATCTCTCCATTCTTTGAAGATCAGCCAAGAGCTGTTGCCCATGGTCCTGTGTCGGAGCACGGAGGTACTCCCGGCATGATGTCTGAAGGTCTTGGTGTCCTGTGTGGAGGAGCTGTTCGTGAGCTTTGTCATGAAGCTCAGGTTCACTGTCCATGTCTTGGAGGATGTGGGCCAGAGCTTGGAAACCTGAGGTCCTGTTCACAGCACCACCCTTGGGGGGCAGGCTCTGAGGTAGAAGAGCTCGGTGCCTCTGGTTCCAGCAATGGGCCACCACCCCCTTTGACTTTGACTGGGGATTGGGACCGCCGCGGTCCATAGGAAACCGTTGGGCCTCTTGCAATGAAGCTTGAGCCCAAACTCGATTGGTCGGTGAGGTCAAGTCTGCTGAAGCGTGAATCAAATCGTGCTGCAAAGCCTCAAAGGCTTGGTTACCCACATGACTGTTCTTTCTCACCTTCTGCAAGCTTGCGACGCTTGACATCATCTTCATTGTTGACGGTGGGCCTTTTGAGCATCGATTTGAGCTGGTCCTGCTGCTCTTGTGTGAGACTGACTCCAACAGTGCTGATGAAACCAGCTACTGCTTCTGGTACTGGGTCCTTCATTTCAGCATCTTCAACTAAGTGCACTGGGTCAGGCTGTTTGCTGACCAAGGTCATGTAGGCCGTGCTGGTGTTGTTGAGCTCGGCTTGTTCTTGTTCTATCTAGGTCTGAATGAGCTTCATCTCATTCAGCAGATCCTGGAAGGCCTTCTTGGTGGCATCGATCTTGGACTGCAAGTGCTGCTTCCTGTGGGAAAGATCTCTCAAGCTGGAGACCTGTTGCTTGAGCTTGTTGGCAACATCCTTTTCCGTAGGCGGCTGAGGTTTGGTGATCTTTTCAACCAGCTCCTTCACTGGAGCAGGGAGTTGCGCCAGATTGTCTCTGAGCACGTCCTGCAAGTCAGGCTCAGGAGTTGGAGGTGGTGGGGAAATGCCAATTTCGGTCAGCTTCTGTTGAAGACCAGGGTCAAGCTTGTCCCATGAGGAAGCCAGCAACTCTCCTGAGTTTCTGAACTTTGCTAGGTCTGCTGTTGTTCTTCCACAAACCAGGAGGAGGCGTGACACTGCGGGAGTTCTTCCATCTTGCAAGCCTTGGTGGTGGAGATCTCCGTGCAAAGCCCTGTGGAGGTTTCGGCCATGAAGTGCCACACTGCCTGCAAACAGTTCCTTCCCTGACGGTCTTGCCATATCCAGTTGTGGCATCCACTGGACTGGCATACTTGGTAGCCCCTGCACCAACGTGTTGGGCTTGAGGGGGTCATGCCGCGGATCGTGAAGGCGCCTTCAAGGACGTGGGTGAGGATCTCGATGCCTTCTGCGAACTGGCCTGGGTCACCTTCGGTGAAGTAGGGCGCCCTTGAGCTCGGCCCGGAGTGGGATGCACTCCGCGGCTTGATGCTGAAATGGCTTGAGCCTTGCATATGCATATGCATATGTATATGTATATGTATATGTATATAGGTATACATGTATAAATGAACGTATATGTATATGTGTATGTGTATGTATATGTATATGTATATATTGTATTTGTGACTTCGAAGTTTGATGTCTTTGGACCATGCTTAGCTGTCGCTTCAGGAAGAGAAGGGCTGGAAGATGGTGGAGGTCGAGAGCTGAAGGAACGAGTCCCCAGGAGTCTCTCCAGTCAGAGTGTAGAAGTGTTTTCGAGCTTTTCGTAGGATACTGCGGATTGCAGTGATCCCACTGACTGATGTGGCATGCAGCTGTCTCAGTTTGACAGGGTAGGGAAGTGGACAGGAGGTGGGTGAGAGGTCCCCTTTCTTCAAACCTTTTTAGCAAGGGTATATAAGTTTTCGGATTTCAAAGGATTCCAGGGCTGTTGTCTTCTCCATCCCACCTTGTGCACGAGGTCACCGAGGACAAGCGCTCGGAGCACACGGTTAGATGGCAATCTCATGCAATGAAGGCCTGGCAGGGCCTTTCCCACATGGTTTTTTGTATTATTTGGAATTCAGGCCTTCCTCATGCGACATTGTATGCTGGCACTGTTGTCAGCCAGTGGATTGAAGAATTTGAGCGTGGGCGAAAACGTTTGTGATTAGTGGCCATGCGGGGGTAGGGTTTTGCAGTTGGACACTTCTGGATGCCAACATTTTGTATTCATGATCCAATCAAATCCTTAGAGTTCGCGCTTTCAGCTATGCCGGAAGCATCTCTCACAGTTGATCGGTCCGCTTCTTCAGGAGCTCTGTGACAACATCGTTCGACCCTACGACGATGAGATCAAGGTGCACGAAACGTGTTGAATCCAGCTGTCTCAAGTGATGCAAACAAGTGGACTCAGTAGCCTTGCTGCGAGAAGGCACCAACGCTGTAGGCAAGTGCAACTTTGAAGCGATAGACTTCTCCGGAAAGTCTCACTCGACCAAACAGCGTTCCAAACTGATACCTGCAGTGGCTACAATTTCACCAAGAAGCTCCGGAACACCTACGTGGCACAGGTGTTGCATGCATGTGGCATGTAGACAGAGCATTCTGTGCAGGACATCTTGCTGAAACACCTAAAAAAAAGGTGCGCGGAAGGCCTGGTACTGTACCAGCTGTGGCAAATGCAAACTGACATAATAAAAGTGTTCATTTCGTCATTTGTGGATCCTCCAATTACTTTTGCACATGTTTGGGTTACATGGACTTCCTAAACTGAAGAGCATGAGGAACTGATCAATATACTGTATATATATATACATACACATATTATGGAACTGAAAGACTGAGACCTCATTGTATGAAGGAATCGTTTTTCTTTTCCAGAACTTCTACAGTCGGTTTCAATCGTTTCCTTGGTCTCAGGGGGATGATGCTCATGTGCGGAAAGAAGTGGTTAGCACGGTTGTGAGCTTATGAAGCTGATCAGATTCGTGAGATGTTCTTGAAGAACTTTATGTTGTATATTTGGTATTCGCATGGTAGTAAGATGTGTTCATCGGTCCATCTGGGGAGTCTACAACCTTCTCTGTTTGTTGGCTGCAAGAACCCTTGACCTTTACTCTATTCATCTCAATTCTCAAAAGACGCCTGCGCTTCTGATGCCTTTAATGCTCCAAATTCCAGCGTTGAGATTGTCAGACCAGAAAGAAAGGGAAGATGATGATAGTTTATTGAATGGGCAAGGTGATTGAAGGACAAACCAAACTCTATTGTTTATTGCTTGCATAAGAGTTGATGTTTCTGAAAGCTCGGAATCATCCAAGCCATGATGATACATTTCCCCACAAAGCCTGGTGTCGGAAGTCTCCTTTTGCTTCAACATGTATCACATTTGCTCATGTTTTCCCAGCTTTGGAGCATTTTGATATGCCATGCATTTTGTCTTACTGCCTGCGGGCATGGTTGCAGAACAACAGATGTTCCAATATATGCATATCCATGCAACCTTGCAACATCTTTACTTGCCCGTTTATGCATCATTCACACCTTCAGAGGATGCGAAACTGTTAGAGCTCATGTAGAGCTGATTTCTCTTGACTGGGCGAATGAAGCGCAGCTTCGAAGCAGGCCCATACGAGCTTCCGGCACAAAAACATCAAGTCCTGACGGGGGGTCCGCAGATTCTGGCCAAATCATATGAATACGTACTATGTGTGGTTGTGCCAGGGTCATGTATTTTTGGGTGTGTCATCCTTGTGCTCGTAGGTCTTTCCAAGGCCGGTTCTGCGTGCTTTTGTCATAGATGTGGCCACACGAAGCTGGGGCTGTGGCATACCCTTTCGGAGATATCTTTGCACTTTGCCTGTCACAAATCAATCCTTCAATTGGTCGACAGATTGTTTTGTTGAGATTTTGATAAATTTGACACTTGCACTGGGGGTAGGGCAGCTGCTGCATCTTACCTGCACAACCATATCAAAATCCACCGAGCGTTCGACAGTGCTCGATTCACCGGTCCCGGCCGCTTTGGTTGGGGGATTTGCCTTTGCAGCATCAATCCAGGCAATGACTTGCCAGTCTTCGCCTTCTTCAAACCGAGGCGCTGGAAGCGTTTGCCTGCTTTTGCTGCTCCTAACACTTGCAGAACATGCAAATGAGTAAACCACATCCTGGTCGGGCCTTGTTTCTAGTCCATTTTCAGCCTCCATCCACCCGCATGTTTGAGAAACATGATGGCCCAACAGAATCAGCGGACACCATAATTCACTCAGACAGGAGTTTACGCTTCCTGCCTGTTTTTGTGGCACATCAGATTAATTGTCATAGAATTTCCTGGTGTGAAGTTGGCCTTTCAATGCAGGTCTGATCATGTAAAAATTGAATGACTCCGAAAGGGACATGTTCGGACTCTTTTTGATCTTCGAATATTTCAGGTTCATCATAATTTATGCCTGGCCGAAAAAGGACGCCGTTTCTCGAGGGCAAATCAGTGGGACTGTCCCATGATGCTCACAGCGATTTGACTTCCAAGTTTTGGGATCACAGCGATTTTGAGACTGTTTCCAGTCATGCAAAATGGGTTTATGATAGATTTGCAACGATGATCACAGCTGCTTATGATCACTAGTTAAGTTTCCCTAAAAATCTAGGAACCAAATCATTAGTGCGAGCTCTCCTGCGTCCTGTCGGTAGTAGCTACTTAAGGTACTAACTACCTAGCTTCTACTAGCCTAGCTACCTACCTAGCTAACCTACCTCACCTCTACATGGCCGATGACCTTCGAGAGGCCGATGATCACTGACCTCACCAAGGGGCCCATGGGAGAGGTGGCCAGGAGGTGCTGTGGGGGGTGGTTAATGGAGCTACTAGTAGCGTCCTTGCTCCTTGTAGTACGGCCAGGAGCCCCTAGTAGCGATGCCCTTGCTCCTAGTGGCGATCCAGGAGCTCTAGTAGGGATGCCCTTGCTCCTAGTAGCGATGCCAGGAGACCCTAGTAGCGATGCTTTTGCTCCTAGTAGCGATGCCAGGAGCTCTAGTAGGGATGCCCTTGCTCCTAGTAGCGATGCCAGGAGCCCCTAGTAGCGATGCCCTTGCTCCTAGTAGCGATGCCAGGATGTAGCGATGCCAGGAGCCGCTAGTAGCGATGCCTTTGCTCCTAGTAGCGATGCCAGGATGTAGCGATGCCAGGAGCCCTTAGTAGCGATGCCCTTGCTCCTAGTAGCGATGCCAGATTGTAGCGATGCCAGGAGCCCCTAGTAGCGATGCCCTTGCTCCTAGTA